GCACTTTTCGAAATCTAAACATTCGATACAAATTAGTTCATTATTTATGATTCTGTTCAATTAAACTGACCACAACTCCAACGGCAAAAATAGACAAAAGTAAGAGTTAACGCCGAGTGAAGGGCTTTATAATGACTGGTATTAATTGAAAAAAAGAGATCTGAATTCCATGCGTCTTACTTGTTCTGTTCAGTAAAAGTACCGGGAACGACAGCTGTGAGCATCCATGAATCCAGAATGTGAAAAATAGAATTCCTGAGAAAAGCATGGAGGCGAAGAACGGACTGACCTACTAACTGGTAAATAAGTATCAATAAAGGCGTTGTATCCTCATCACCATTACAACCTTGGACTGAAGCTTCAGCTTCATTGTTATCTAGGGCATGGTCATAGCCTTTGCAAACCAGTCGCCGACGAAGGCGAGGAGTAAGGCGGATCGTGGAATCTGAATTCATTGAGAGTCGATATTGTGCTTGATGAAGAAAGGTCCAAACTGATTGTAGTAGAATACGTAATTGTCCGGGATCCTGAACAAAATAAGGCGAAAAATATACGATAGCCAAGAGAATTGCATGAAAACAGAAGAGTACAAGGAAGCAAATAACCTACTCCATGCGTTATATCGCATTCAAGTTGGCTAAACCAGAGCATGGTGTCAAGATAAGCCACGAGAAGCATGGAAAGACTGATTGGTTTATTTAGATCTCCTTTCTCCTCAGCAGATCCAGTAATTCCCATGGCAGCAATGTTTGATGCCAAGGGCACAGTTTGATTGCATTTGCCCCCATTCACTTTTTCTTTCTGCGTTCCATTCCAATATTTTTTTGTAGTTTCCATAGGATGACCAAGTAATGTACAGGAGAAACATGGAAATACCTTTTGGCACTTAGAAGGAGGAGAATAGACAAATGACACGACATCAAGCAAGCCAAAACGGTACCAAGTAGACCGCTTGCCTACAAAGCAATAAAAAGTATGCGATAAAATAGTTTATGAAAATATGATTATCAGTAGTATTGGCCACTTTATCTACAGTAACGGTCTGATTTCATTTATAATTCAATGAAATTTATACCATCTGAATTACATAACAGAATTTACATTGGGTCGATTGCGTCGAATTAAATCATTATTTCGAGTAGATCCGTTCATATAATTCTCGGTTTATGGGCCGATATAAAGTACAATAATCTGGATTTTGAAGTCCGATATAAAACCATTTCCAGCGAGGATGCACATATTGTCATCAAATAAAGGCAACCCACCAACGTTGTTGTTCAACATTGAACCTAACCAAAGCGAGCAGTACCACAACATTTGTGGGTTGGCACACAAG